CCGAACACAAGATCTGTGTCTGCCAGCCCAGCCTGAGGGACTTGTCTCCTGTAGCCGACACGGTGAACACTTTTCCTTCCGTAAGATTTTCAAACACATTCCATCATGTTAGCCTCCGCCCCCCCCCCACTTTCTAAACTCGCACTTAAAGACACTTAAATTACTCCTCTGTTAAGTCAATTAAAATACTGCAATTCAAGCCTTAACTAACAGGGAACTCCACTGAAGGCCTTAGGCTGTTTTGAACTAAAGCAGTGCAATAAGCCTGCAAGGACCAGACTGTGGTAACAAGGCAGGTGCTGTACCTACCCCATCATTGTACCCGAGAGGGGAACAGAAGCTCCAACAAAAACCTCCACCTCTTCACTATCCACATCAACGTGACTGTCAGAGCACATTTCACCACTCAAATGTAGCTTGTCTCTCATCAGGAAAACCTACAGAAAAGCTTCATGATAGGAGGACTGTAGCAAGGCTCCCTCTGCCACTACCCAGAGTTTACAGTCTGCGGTCAAAACAAAGCAGATTTGGTTTTTTCAATCAAGCTTACATTGAGTTCTTCACTGCTTATGTTTTCTAAAAACGGGATCCTGTTTGGCTGATGAATGTTAACAGGCTGCCTCATTACAGTTAGCTATACTTTCTCTTTTACTCTCCTCCCCAAACATTAAGCGTAACTACATTCAGGAAACCACCTCTACACTTCAATTTCCATGTGTAACCAGAGTATGTGAGTTTTCTGCCACCACATTTTAGAGGCATGTTCAATCAGTTAATTATGGAAATAAGCACAATGGCGTCAATTTCATTTTTCACCACATCTGAGGAAAATTCTCTTGCATAATTACACTACTGTAGTAAAAAAAAAAACAAACCCAAATCATCAGACTTTCCATCTACGCAGAGAAATACAATTTATTTAAATAATCTCTGATCTGGGTCTTCTTGTACAAAAATAAATTCTTCAAGAGGGGTTTCGCGATCTGTTGGCCAGCAGCTTCTCTCACACGTGTAAACTAGAGCAGTTCCAAATTCCACTGACAGATCTAAAACCAAAGCAATAAAGGCACGTAACGTAAAGGTATGAAAAATAGTATCACTGGGAGCTGCTGCTCATTGCTTAGTTCAGTCTTTGCCAATTCAGAAAGTATTTTTCATATTCAGTCTTCGAATTGTAAAAATTTTAAAGCAAGCAGACCCAGAATTTTCAAAGAGCTTCTCACGTGTCTGCAATCTTACCTGACAGTATTTATTATTTTCCAAGGCCTCACTTAAGAGGCAATACAGACAAATTACTCCCCAGGCCAGGACTTATCTACATTGCTGTTATTACAGTTCACTCGTGAGCAAATGAAGTTGCAATCACAGAGTCTCTGTAAATCAGAGTTAATCTTTTGCTTAGTGAAATCTATAATGGAAACACAGTGGATTCTACACATGAAGATGACCGCTGCCATCTGATGTGAAGCACATCAGTGCTCATGGTTAGTGAGAAACAATCCAAATTGCAGTTCATGAGCTTTACCAAGAAGGTGACTGTTTCTAGTATTCACTCAACTAAGTCAAAGGTCAGCACCTGAATCACTCTGCAGCATGCTGACCAGCGCTGGCATGAGTTGAAATTCAAATATTCTGTTGCTTCCACAGTTACTGCAGGCCGGAATACATCTGTTAAAGTCGGCTGGAGGACACGTGATGAATAAAGGCTGGCCACCCCTAGAATATCTAAGAGAAGAAGGGGAAAAAGATTTTTTTTTTAATCTAAATTTCATTGGAAAACTTATGTGTTGGCAAGAGCATTCAGGATTCTCTGAAACCTCTGAACTTGCTCGTAGTAAAAAACACTGCTGTGAGCCAGAATTGTTGCCTAAGCTTCAGATGAGTCATTAAACAGAGAGTAAAGACGGGGAGGGGGAAATACTTGGAAGGTAAACAGCTGGAAAGTCTCTAAGCAAGAGCTTCATTTAAAGAAGACAATGCTTTAAACTGACACCTTCAGAAAGTGCTGTACCTGGCTCAATTAAGCAAACTATACTTTCCTGAAAAATGAAATCCTAACCAGTGGCAATTAAAGATATTCAGCACAGAACAGGTCTCAAAACCACTCTAAGTTATGCCACAGACCTGATGTTTTATTTATAAGAATTACCAGAGCTCCACAACTAACAGGAAACTAAGATCAAAGATAGGTTCCACTAAATGCCAAGCAGAGGATTCTGTACTGTGCTGGAAGCTCAACAGAGATCTGGCAGCCCAGGAGCAATGGGGGTGTAACAGGCATACTCACAGCACCCATGAAGGGAAAGGGACTAATGACAGTCATAGGGATCACCAGAGGTGATGTTTTAGAAGAACAGAAAACTCAGAGCGTAATACTGAAAAGTGATAGATCCTGTGAAAAAAACCCCACTTGCCTGAAAACGTTACTTGCACTCTGCATTAGTATATTTTCTGTAAGATCTTTGACACATATTAAAGTTTCTAATGTTTCTTATCTACATAAACAGCCCCTCAGACTTTACTTCCTCCTCAAGAAGGTACCAGATAGTTGTACTTGGTTCTGGGTAATCACATTAAGCTGCAGAAGAATTCAGGCTTTAAAACAGGTAATTTCTTACTTTAGTGACATCTCTGGGACTGAAACAATTAGCAATTACAATAACGTTACAAAACTTCAGAGGGGTAGATTGCCCTGGAAACCTATCACAACAGCGTACCACTGCCTGTTATACTTCCACCTTCAAAATGCTTCTTGAAAACCTCTATGTGTGGATTTCAGGGAGTCTTCAAAGACAGTCTGGGTCTGTTCTCATCAGGTTCTATGTTGAAGAAAGTCTCCCACAGCCAGATCTAGGGTCTTTGATCCTAATTTGTTTCTCATTCACTTACACTTTGCATAAAAAAGCCCAACCAGGGATTGAAGTCTCACCACACATAAACGGTAACAGCCCTCTTAATTTTTCCACATGTGCAATCTGTATACCCTGCTACAACCACATGATCAACATACCTTAGAATCTGTTCAGGACACACAGATATTCTTTTCATAAATTTATGGAATGTGTGGTCCCTGCTTTTGACTTCACTTTTCTCATATTTTTCACTGTCACCTTCACCTTTAAAACTGAGAAAACAAGAATAGAAACAAATTTTCCAATGAGGTTTTCAGTACAACATGCATGCTTTAAATAAGCAATAGTTACTATACATTCACATTAAATTATACTAGGTGCACAGGAAAAAATACACGTTAAATTAAGAGGTAATTCCTGTTAAAGGTTGCAAGTGAACATTTTGCTTCTAGTTCTTCTGTTTCTGGTGGCTTACAGTTACTAATAGTGTTTAAGACTACCACGAGATGAAAATCCACCCGATACCTGCTTATTACTTAAAAAAAAAAATAAAATCATTCTTTTAGTAACTTCTCAGAAGTTTTTCTAGTTTTCAAATTACAATGTTGTCTTTTTAAATTTTGAATTAAATGCAATTAAAGTTCTATGATTCATTCAAGGTCAACAAAATTCAACAGGAATCCCACCACTAAAAAGTGTTCCATGCAGATTCTGCAACTGGCAGTAGCTTTAGTTACTAAAAAATTCATTGTTGTCCACAAATCAGGAAAACCCACACCACACATTTATATAATCAGAAGAGAAATGGTCCAGATACAAGTGCTTGCTGTGATCACCTAAGTTAATACTGAAATGTTTTCAGTAACTACATTCAAAAACTGTTTCTCAAACAACCTTTACAAAATCTTTGGGAGTCTCACCATCATCCCAGTCTCTAGCCAAATTACCCAAGTAATTCAAATCTTAAAAATGCAATTGGAATGTAAGAAAAACTTCTGCTTTGGAAAGAAAAAAGTCAAACGTCACAGTATAAACTCATGCCATTTAGCGTAAGACATTGTTTAAACCATACAACTTTGGTTTCAGAGATTGGCAAGTCCACTGCTCAGTCTGGAGCCCAAGGACATTCCAGCTGCTCAGTCACTCAGAAATAGACGCATGTCTGAGTAACTTAAAATTTGACACAATGGGGTGCACTGTCCCATTCTTCTGGCAAACTACTATGTGCCTATGGTTCATGAAGCAGCCACTAACAAACAAAAAGCATTCAGATTTAGTAAGAGTCAGGTTTAGATTACAGTCATCAGACAGGAAATTATGGAATCCCTTCAGTTTCAGCATGAAATCCAGACCTGTTCTCACCTTTCTGACATCAGCTGCTCCAAATCAACACCCTCTCTCTGCTGATACTCCTTCAATAGCCTATCTGCATGATCTGTATCAAGGAAACCAGTGTAGTCTTCCTCATCCACAACACTAATGTAAAAGGGCTGGAACACAGGAGCTGAACCAGATGTTTCCATTACCATTTCCTCACTGACTGGAGAATGTGTATTCAGGGAATCTGAATCCATAGCCTCAGACAAGCAAAGCTGTTGGAGCTGGGATGCACACTCCACCTCTCTGGACAAGGAGCTGCTCACTGCTTCATTTAAGCCAAGCAGCTGAAGGGAGGTATATGCATGAGTTTCTGCTCCATCACAGGCTCCCCAGTCATCTGCTTCATCACACCAATCCTTTGCAGTGAAATGTGATTCTTGTTTCTGAGTAGAACAAAGCAAAAACAAGATTTAAAGAGAAAAATAACATTGTCAAGATCAGCCACCCGAATGCACTTCAAATACAGTTTCATAAAAGGTAAGAAAATGAAAACCCTAACCTAATGCTTCATGTTATTTCACCTGTTCTCCTCACGGTGGCACTTACCAGTATACCCATGTTCACTTTTCATGGCACTGCAGTTATGGCAAAAAATATCTCACAGGAGAGAAATGGAACAGGAATTCATTGCCTTTTTGCCTGGCCTTTGTCCATCACATTGCCATACCTTGGCTGCTTCCAGGGCCACTGGCAGCAACTTTGGGTACATTTAGCTGAAGCACAGTTACTGTACCACAGGTAAGCTCAAAGGGCAGAATATGGAGGAAAATAATAACAACAATAGTGTTTTATCAGACTATAGGCTCATTTACCATGGACCAAAATTTCGCACTGCAAAAGCAGGAGCTGAATAAACACTTTCTGCCTGTCATTGCTACTTTGATAGCCATCCTCCTCTTCCAATCTTTTTAGGCCAACATGCAGCTGTTCTTCAAGAGCAAGAATACTATATTAACAGTAATTGAGTCAGATTAATTAGAGTAATTTTTAGAAAATATATTTAAATTAGAAAATAAAGAAATCATTTTAAAGATACAGACATAAACAGCATAGCCCAAACATTTAAAGTTGAAAAATAGTATTTAGGTAGCTCAAGTAATTAAAATATTAAATATCAGTTTGACCATACAGTTGGGTTGCCATCTCCACTTTAAAACAAGTTTAACATAGATCACAAGAAAGAAGTTAACATTCTAGTAAATAACATGTTGTACTCAATGGTGTCAAAATTCCATAACCACAACTTCACACAGCCATATACAGAAGTCAAAGTGGCATACAGCACAGCTTCTTAAAAAACGTTATCACAGACTGGTTTGGGTTGGAAGAGACCCTAAAGCTGCTGTAGTTTCAAACCCCTGCCACGGGCAGGGACACCTTCCACTAGCGCAGGTTGCTCCACGCTCCTGTATCCAACCTGGCCTTGAACACTGCCAGGGATGGGGCAGCCACAGGTTTTCCGAGCAACCTGTGCCAGCGCCTCAGCACCCTCACAGGGAAGAACAACTGCCTAATGTCTAATCTAAATCTACCCACTTTCAGGTTGAAGCCACCCCCCTCATCCTGTCACTACATATCCTAAGTATGGTTACTTAAACAATTATATATAACATGTTATGGTTACTTAAAGAACTTAAGGTGCAAAACTCATCCAACTCAGCTGCATTTCTCATTTTCATATAGCATACTGAAACAAAGGACAGAACCCAAAAAGGCAGTTTGTCAGTTGTACCTGTTTCACACTGTGATCGTGTGTTGCCTTCTCCTGTGTCTGCAAGTACTGGGAGCGCAGTACCTTCCAGCTTTAGCAGGCCGTGTCATGGAAGAAGAAAACGAATCAAAACCACGTAAGGAACAAACCATTCGAGCTGGAGACATAATCAATGGCGGCGGGGCCGCGCACGTTTCGAAGGGAGCCGCAGTGAGCCCGTCCTCACCTGC